GATATCAAAGGAAGGTCTCAACGTCGGTGATGCTCTAATGGCCAAGTAAATTATGGCTTCGAATATAATAAACATTGAATATATTCATAGATTTTGTTTTCGTAACTTTTTTTAATTGGAGAACCATAATTTTTTTTCACCTCGAAATAGAACTTTTAGACCTTATATTTTAATGATCTAATAAAATTAAATTAATTAACCCTATTAATAAACACAAATGTAATTGAAACAAGCATATGTTAATAAAGCTATAGAAGAAGGGCCACCACATTGAATGATTGAATAATATAAAAAGAGGTATAAATTGCTTTTGTGTGTGAACTAAGAGTCTAAGACTCAAAATTAGTAGCCAAATTATCTACTAATTTATATTTTCTACTGACAAAAATAAAAGACTTTTTTTTTATCAAAAAATAAAAGACATTAACCTTTCTACTAGTTGTCAATTGATTTTCAATAAAAAAATTATAACTACTCACACTATAAATGTATTGAATAATAAGAATACTTAAAAAAACTTGACTTTTTTTTTCTTATAAATTTTGGAATTAGTTATGAAAAATAATTAATCTGGAGTTAAACTAAACTATTTTCAAAAAAGCTAAATGATTTTATCAATTAGTGAAATAAAAATTAGTACAACAACTACTATTTATATAAGCTTTGAAGTAATGAAAAAAATTAAAACTCTAGTCGCCAGAGAGAGAAAAAACGATTTGAGGTTTTGTCTTTCTCGTATTCAACGATTTTTGTCGATTAACATTTTGAGAGAAGTGTTAGATTAGTGATTGTTTCATGCGTTTTGGTCTTAATTTTTTTCTTTGTTTCGTTTTTTATTATGAATTTGTTGCAGATTTCTTTAATAAAGTTTCATTAGTAGTGATTCTCTCGACTTTCAATTGATCTATCCACCTCCATCTATATTCAGGTTAGAGTGATTTGCTTTAAACTCTTTTCACTCAAACATATCAAGACGGAATCTGATGTTTATCGATTCTCTCGGATTCAGTCATTCTAATATTCTATATGTTTTGTTTTTAAATGATGTTTTAGAATTTTTTATTTAAAACTAAATGTTGTTTTCAATTTTGTGTGCACAACTAATTGATTTTTCATTGTTTATGATTATATAAATTTTGAAGATTAGGTTTTTACTAGTTGAAATGTGTTTAGGTAGATAAAGAATGATGATTTATTGTTATCACCGATAGGGCATATAGCTATGAGAGTTTCTTCTAAGCTCACCAACTTTGTTTCAGGAAAAGTTTCGATTTTTATCGATTTTATCACTGGAAAAAATCTAGATTTTTGCCCGTTTGATTTAATTTCAGTTTCACATTCCGACAAAATATCTATATAAAATAAAATAAAAAAAACTCTTCTATTAAAAACAACTTTTCAAATCTTTCATAATTTGTAATTTACTAATTTATATATTTTTAAAATTAGGACCCTAATAATTTTCAATTGATACACTTACTTTGCCTCTTTCAATTTTTCCATTGTAGTGTTCATCCACCACCTTCAATTTCTTTAACACATTTCTTTAACACATGCATATATGCAG